GAAGGGGAGCGGGCGGGGAGCAAGCAGGTTCCTTCCAGCTTCATCCGTCCTCTGGCAGGATCCAGGCAGGCAGGCAGGCAGGAGTATTCCTTCCCTAGGTGGAAAGCCCACTCGGGGCTACAGAGAGCAGTTCTCTCCCCTCTACACAAAGAAGAAATAGGACCCAGGCCTCTTAGTGTTTTCCTTTTCTCGGTTGATGAGGGAGAGCTTCTGAAGAAGGCAGGCTGGAATTATGTAGGAGCTCCTGGGAGTATTCACAAATCTAGAGGGAAAAAAATACGATCATTTACCGATAAAAATGAAGTAATGATGCCCCATTTTGAAACAGAAGATTGCCTTTTATGCAAAATAAACATTGGATTTGTTACAAGTAAGATTATCACCATGTAAAGTTGTCTGAGGTACCAGTGTCCTTTGTTAGGTTATCTTTACTAACTTCGCTAAAGCACTCAAGTATGTAACACTAATCACAGAAACTCAGAACTGTTAACCTGCCTCTTAATCTAAAATGTGCAGGTCGAAATCCACACAAAACTTGTAGTTGCCTTTTGTGTGTCATGAAAATTTAACTGATGCATTTTTTTCTTGTAATAGCTCTTCAAGTCTTCGATTTAAAAAAAAAAAATGGCCTCCAATAAAACTACATTGGTAAGTTCGTGAAACCCCAAAACATGTAAGAATCTTAAATGAAGAATTTTTTGTTTTTGAAATTTACAACTAAGAAGCCAATAAGGTGATGGCACACACCTTTAATCTCAGCACACTAAAGGCAGAGGCAGGTGGATCTCTGAATTGAAGACCAACCTGGTCTACTGAGTGAGTTCCAGGACAGCCAGGGCTACACAGAGAAACCCTGTGTGGGGGCAAAAAACAATTGTAAGTCAAGAAATACGTTGTTGTGCATGATTTTAATCCTGGAAGGAGCAGGTGAACTGCTTTGAGTTTGAAGCCTAGCTATTATTTACATCCATGTACTTCTCAGCACTCTAAAGAAAAACTGAGTTGTTAATTTTGAGATATTCTTAATGGTTTTCCTTAAGGAGGGTCACAATGCATCTTTTAAAACCTAATCTTAGGACTACATAGTACAACTTTAGCTGAATGTTTTTATTCTGAAATAAAAATGCATATTTGTGGCTGGTGAAATAGCTCAATTTTCCACCCAAGGGAAGGTGGAAGGGGAGAGAATCTATAAGGTTGTTCCCTCATCTCCAAGCAGGTACTTCCCACTATCAGATGATTACACTTTTAATGAACTTAATTATGGAAAAAATGGTACATGGGGAAATCTCTAAATTATTAGTTGATTGGTATGATTATCTTTAAATTTGTGCTGAATTTTAGAGGCACTAAGTCTTCATTAATGCAGAATTTTAGAAAAGACACTACACAGAGTGAATCAAAAAAACTGCATCGTTTTGCCGTGAGCAAAAATTGCAAACCATGTCTAGGAATGAAAGAACAATAGTAGATCAATTCTGTATCTTTTGAGCAATTTCCTGACTATTGCTCTAAGCCCAATGTTTGTATTCTTGGGTTTTCTAGCAAGTTAGACAAATTTCTAAGGACATTTTGCTTATTTTTGTTAAGTTATACTAAAAAAAAAAAGTAAGGTTAAAACTGGGTCACCTGGACAGTGGTGGCACAAGCCCTTAATTCCAGAGGTAGAGGCAGGGGGATCTCTGAGTTGGAAGCTAGCCTTGTCTACAGAGTAAGTTCCAAGACAGCCAGGGCAGTTACTCAGAGAAACCCTGTGGGAGTGGGGGAGGTATACTGGGTCTGATGGTGTATATTCATAATCCCAGCATGTTGAGGATCTGAAGCTAGCAGGTTGCTGTGTTTGAGGCTAGCCTGGACTCTAAAAGTACTAGGTTAGGGCTGTACGGCAAAACTGTCTAGATTAGTAGATACATATAAAAAGTGTTACGGTTCCTATATTCTAATGCATTGATCACAAGCATATGGAGGCAGGTGTTACCACCTTAGTAAAACAAAACTTGCTTTTGATCCATATAGTTTTTGAGTTTCTCACCAAAAAGGGCAAGATAGTGATTTTTAATATGTGCTGTCATTATATTATATGTGACTTGGAATGCTCTACAGAATCAACTAGAATCTGTGATCTAAAGCCTGTCTGGTCACTCTTGATTAATGACCAAATATAGGTTAAAGCCTTAGTGATAAAAAGTCTGAGTCATAAGCCAGGTGTTGGTGGCTCATGCCTTTAATTCCAGCATTTGGGAGGCAGAGGCAGGTGGATCTCTGTGAGTTCAAGACCAGCCTGGTCTACAGAGCGAGTTCCAGGACAGGCCCCAAAACAATATAGAGAAGCCCTGTCTCGAAAACAATTTAAAAAAAAAAAAAACCTGAGTCATTGGGCTCAGTGTGGTGGTGCTTGCCTTTAATTGGGAGGCAGAGGTAGGTAGATCTTGTGAGTTCGAGGCCAACCTGGTCTACAAACTGAGTTCCAGGACAGCCAAGACTGTTTCACAGAGAAATCCTGTCTGGAAACAAAAAGCATGACTCATCTGGTGAATTCCATAGGATGTTTGTGTAGGTATGCCCCTATATGCTAATAGATTTAAGTGTCTTGGTGGCCTTGGTGTGCTGCTTCCCACCCCCTACCCCCCACCCCTCTTGGATTCTTCATTTGGTAGATGGTTTTAGTGACTAGTCACTTGATGGGTGTTTTTCTGTTGGTTTTGGTTTAATTTTTTAAGTAGCACCTGTGCACACCTATAATGCTAGCCCTGGGAGAGGTTAAGTCATGAGGATCACAGCAAGTTAAAGGCTAGACTGGGCTACTATCTGAAAATTTTTAAAGAATAGCACCATCTTGGAGATGAAATGACTGAGCATACTGTGTTGTGTTATTGCGGTACTCCATAAGGGCTTGTAATGAACCATCTCAAGGTTTTAACACCCAGCTTCACTCCTTTAACTCCTTATGTGCTGAAAAAACATTCGTGACTGGTATTATGCCCATTCCCCCCCCCCCCAAGAAAAAATTTTGTTGTTTTTTGAGACATGGTTTTTCTCCATAACCCAGGTTGACCCGGAACCCATGGTAATCAGCCTATTTCAACTGCCTGGGTGCTTGCTAGTAAGCTCATCATGTCCACTTCATGCCACTCTTCAAAGTAAATTTAGTCAGTTACCAGTTAAGATTCTAGGTTGAAGCCCAGAAATTAACCCCCACTTAAAGAAAAATCTACTATTTTGGTGTCTTATAGTGATAGTATTAGATTTGAGTGGTCAGGGAAATTAACTACATACAATTGATGGGGAAAGAATCTTGTCCTTTTTAGTTTATTCATGGTCTCCATGGTTGAGCCTAAAACTGCTTTCAGTTTGCAGTTTTTATCTTTGGGACAATTTTAAATTGATACCATCATTGGGAAAGGGATGTCTTAGAGCTGCAGTTTTAATAGGTCTACTCTGCTACACTTGGAAAGACCTATCATTTAGTGGGGTGTGGTGGTGCACACCTGTAAACCCAGTAGTTGGGATGTAGAAGCTGAAGGATTAGGAATTTAGGGTCTTCTTGGCTACCAAGTGAACTGGAGGCTACCCTGGGTTATATGTGACCCTGACTTGGGTATTTGTTTTTTGTTTTTTTTTTGTTTTCATTAGTTTTCTTTTTTACTGTCACACTTCATTCTTAGTTGCTCTTTATTGCTGTGATAAGACACCATGACCAAGGCCACTTACAGAAGAGTTTATTGAAGTTTACAGTTTAAGAGGATCAGTCCATGACCATCCTGGCAGGAAGATGGCAACAGGCATGGCACTGAAGTAGTAGCTGAGAGATTGAGTTTGATCTAGAAACACAAGGCAGAGTGACCTCCAAACCTTCATGACACACCCTCCCCCACCCCACATACCTCTTCCAAAAAGGCCACACAATTCCTTAAACAGTTCCACCACCTGGGGACCAACCATTCAAATGTGAGCCTGAAGAACCATTCTCATTCAAACCACAACTACTAATATTTACATCATTCTCTGTCATTGTCTTTTGGTTATTTGTCACTATTGAGATTAAAATGAGTGTCGATCTGGTAAAAATGGTCTTGTAGAATGCTGGAAATGAAATTGGGAAAGGATAAGGTTATCCTTCTCAGATGTTTTGTTGTTTAATTCTTTTATTCTGGTGAAGGGTATTGGGCTATAAGTATAAATCAGTGGAGCAAAGCTTTTGTTTTATTGTCTATTGACTTTCTAGGAGGTACCTGCCCTGGGTCACGGAAGTTTTAAAAGGGGTGTTCTTTTTGTTGTTTTGGTTTTTGTTTTTTCCAAAAAGTAAAAAATTGTGTCAGATGAATAAACAATTTGGCCTTAAAATGTTCTCAAGGTTTTTTTTTAATTTTCTTAATTTCTCTTTTGTTTTAGCAAAAGATGGGAAAGAAACAGAATGGAAAGAGTAAAAAAGTTGAAGAGGCAGAGCCCGAAGAATTTGTGGTAGAGAAAGTGCTGGACCGGCGTGTAGTGAATGGGAAGGTGGAGTATTTCCTCAAGTGGAAGGGGTTCACAGAGTAAGAAACTTCTTATGGTTTTGTTTTAAGCCAGGGTCTCTCATGTAGCACAGACTGGCCTTGTACTCCATTCCTTCTACCAAGTGCTGGGATTATAGGTGTTCACCGTGTCTCATTTACTTACTTATTTTTTGTGTTCTGTTGAGACAGGGTCTCATGAATCCCAAGCTGCTCTTGAACTTGTTATATGGCCAAGAATAACCTTAAACTCTGATCTTTCTGGTTCCACCTCCCCAGTGCACAGGCATGAACCACCACTTCTGATTTATGTGAACCTAAAGATTGAACCCAGGTTTTCATGCATGCTGGACCAGCACTCTTTATCAAGTACACCCTTACTTCAGTACCTGTAATTTTACTTAGAAAAGACTTAAATTTTACTTTCAGCTTAAATATTTTACCAGTTTGCCCAAAGATCTGTTTGAAGTCAGTTTTAATTCCAGAATTATCTTGTTTTGGTTTTATTTAAGGTTTAGGGGTCTGAAGAGGTGACTCAGTGGTTAAGAGCATTTGTTCTTACAAAGGACCAGGGTTCAGTGCCTAACACCAATGGTAGCCCCTATATCATCCATCCATAACTCCTCAAGTTGCAGGGTATCCAGTGCTGCCTTCTGATGTCTCCATGTGCTGGGGGCGAAAAAAGAGACATGCACACAAAAAATAAATTTAGCAACAGTTGAAACCTACCATATTAGAGTTTAGTTTATTGCTGTCAAGGCAAACAGAAAAGTAAAGCTCACTAAAGCCTAATTTTTAAACTAGCATGCAAAGGCCATGCAAAGCATGTTGTAGTGGATTCTCGTTGCCTCTCATCTCTCCCATCTCCTACCCTTTGCATCTTTCATTAAAGAATTTTAATATTGTATTAAACTTTGTGCTAATTTGAATATTTATGACCAAGAGCCTAACGTTTACAGTACAACATATTTATACTATAGAAGACAATACTGAAGACAATGCTAAATTTGAAACATCAGCCCTCCTTCCAAAATTAAGCTTTGCGCATGTTATAGTCTGAAGATATCATCAGCAGACCAAGTTATTGAGTACCAGATGTTAATGACACCAGATATTACTGAAATCACTCGTCCCATCTAGTTCTATAAAGATTTGTGGCCAGAGCACAAAACAGTCTGTCCGTTGGTACAACTTGTATATATTTGTGAGTTGATACTCATTTTCATCATGGCGCTTCTGAAAGACACATGGAATTGGTTACTTCGGCCTTGTGCGGGAATTGACGGTATCTTCTACCAAAGCATCTATGTGGCTATTTTAGGTTTGGGGGACCATTTGTTTTTCTGCATGAGGAGAATAAAAGCAGCAACTAACACATTAAATGGGCATGACTCTTCGGGTACAGTACTATACTCCCAGCACTATGAAAGCTTTGGCAAGATTAGGAGTGGGAAGCCAACGTAGGCTATATAATACTGTTATCTTTTTTTTTTTTAGAGGGGGGATTTGTTTTGATGCTTCATGAACCATATATATAGCAATCTAGATTTGGATTTTTTCCTCCCCAGCTCTTGTGTTACATCATTTTCCCAAACTGAGAACCCACCAAAAGTTGAAAATATTTCACATAAAGAATATGTCAGAATCTTTATTTCTAAACATCATCGGAGATCCCAAACCTAAGATAATAAGGAATTAGGAATCACTGTTTTTAAAAATTCTTCTATAATCCCAGCATTGAGAGTTCTTCACAGACAGCCTGTGGTACAAAAGATCCCCCTCTCTTAAAAAAAGTCATTTTTGAAAACTCAAAGAGTTGGGATGTAGCTCAATTGTAGAATGCTTGCCTGGCATGCACAAAGCCTTGGGTTTGATCCCCAGCACCAGATAAACTGAGTGTGATAGAGTGTGTTTTATTCCAGTACTTGGGGGTTGGGAACAGGAGAATGAAGACTGGGTTACATAAGTTTTGAGGCCAGCTAGGGTTACATGAAGTGAATTGCATATGGAGCAGGAAAATATTAGTATTGATTGCCTTTGGAGTCAGGTTCAACTGCCTTTGGGGTTAAAATACCATATTGATCACTTAGGGATGTGGAGAGGGGCGTGAAAGGAAGCGAGACTTTTTCCAGATAGCTATGAACAGGTCCAGGTAATGGCAATGTTTAATTGAATCAACTTTTTGTTTTCTTTAACTGAACACAGTGCTGATAATACTTGGGAACCAGAAGAAAATTTAGATTGTCCAGAATTAATTGAAGCATTTCTTAATTCTCAAAAAGCTGGTAAAGAAAAAGATGGTACAAAAAGGAAATCTTTATCTGACAGTGAATCTGATGATAGCAAATCGAAGAAGAAGAGAGATGCTGTAAGTATAAAGTACTGCCCGTTAGACTGGGTCTTATCAAAAGTTAATGGCTTGAATTTTAATTACTTTGAATCTTTTCCAGCTAGTTTTTTTTTTTTTTGCTTGTTTTCTTTTTGTTTTTTTACCTAGTTCATATTTTATTTTTTAAATTATCTTCCAAAGTGATGGGTTTTGTAATTTTCATACATAGTTATCATTAAACCTTGTGGTAATTCATCTCCCTATCCCTTCCCCTTTCTGGTTAGTTTCCTTTTGAGGGTTGGGTTAGAGGCAGGATCTCATTTAACAGAGGATGACTTTGAACCACTCCTGTTACCTCTGACCTGACACTGCAATTACAGGTGTTCATCACAGTGCCTGCTTAAAACTAGAATAGGTTAAGTGATTTGAAGACAGGTTTTCACCTTGTAGTCATGCCTGGCTTCAAGAGTCACAGAAATCTGCCTGCCTTTGCCTCCTGAGTACTACAATTAAAGGCATGCACCACCATGTTCAGCTAAAACTACAATAGATTTTTTTTTTTTTTTTTTTTTTTTTTTTTGATGCAAACTGCACAGGGCTTTACTGTTTTTTAACGAGCTAACCCCATGTTAACTTGTCTAGAATACTTTTTAAACTCCAATTAAGAAAGAAACTTTATAGCATCATTCATGGCACAAATAAAGTAATCTTTAAAACGGTTTGAATTTACCCTATTGACATAGTGTGATAATTAAAGGAAAAGTCTTGACGCTGAATTAGCCTTTGGCTCCAAGCATGCAGCACATGTTAAATTATTAAAAGAACTATAAGTTTCAAATGTGGTCGTTTGAACTAGGTATCAAGAATTTTGCTTATAGGTTATTAGTCTTTTAATACCAACCCTGTTAAGTCTAGATAGTGACCCAGTTGTATAGACAAGAAAACAAGATCATTACAGCATATGCATAAGGGAAGCAGAACTTTGGCAGTAATACTTAAGCTATATTGAACAGTGTTCCAAACAGCTTATATTGAATCATATTGATACACTCCCAAAAACCTATGAAATAGGGACTAATTTTTTTCATAGATAATTAACGTCCCAAACTCCCAGATCTTCAAAGACTTGTTATTCTAACCCAGTCTGACTCCAGAGCCTGGTTATGCCAATGTGAAACTTAAATAATTTTAATGTACTGATACCATTAGTTCTTAAATACACTCCAAAGTTATGTAGGCTGTAATTACCAACGTTTGTTTTTGCTGTTTTAGAAATTGAAAACAGCCAGCTGGAGGCTTGGCTTTAGCACTGGGGAAGCAGAGGCAGGCAGATCTTTCCCAAACCAGCCTACTCTACTTAGTGAGACCCTGTGGGGTCAGGGACAATTTTAGGGCTAGGGAACTGACTCAGTGGTTAAGGGCACTTGCTGTTCTTAAAGAGGGACCATTTGGTGGCTGACAACAATCTAACTCCAATTACAGTGCACCCAACACCCTCTTCTGACTTCCATGGCACCAGGCACACACATGGCATTACACAATCATACATGCAGGTAGTGCACTTAAATACATAAGTCTTTTTTGGATAACAGTTTTACAATACAATTAAAGAGCATACAAATACTCTAGTAGAAACACCCTAGTTCGGTTCCTAGCACCTATATGGGCACTCAAAATTGCCTGTGACTGCAGCTCCAGGAGTACCAACACCCTTTCTGGCCTCCAAGAGCACCCATGCTTGCAGGTACACAGAAAAATACATGCAATTTTTAAAAATAAATAATACCAAAAGGGGAAAAAAACTAGACAAGAGAAAATGGTTTAAGGCCAGAACTGATTGGAAATTTGGCATGATGGCATTCACCTATAATCAAAACACTTGAGAGGTAAATTCAAGGTCATTACCTACAAAGCAAAATTACATACAAGCGTGCATATAAATAATACCTATTGTGTGTTAAACATGTTGTGAAAAAAGGCAGGACAGTTCATACCTACAATCCTAGCACCTGAGGGACTGAGTGAGGTAAGAGTTTGAAGTTAAGTCTTGAAATCTAGATGAGACAGTCTTTAAACCCCTGATCATCCAGATTGAATCTAAATGGTGGATCAGAGGGCTTCGTGCCACCAGTCTTGGTTTGCTGTGACTATATTTAAAAGAAGTGTGTGAGATAGTCCCAATAGGAGACCTTGCGCGCTCGCATGCGTGCGTGTGTGTCTTACAATAAGCAAATAATTTAGACTGATTTCCCAGAAGTGAGTTCATTGGATTTTACTGTTGTTTGGGGTTGGCTTGGTAACTAATTTGTTCTGGGTTTTTTGCTTTTGGGGTTTTTTTTGTTTGTTTGTTTGTTTTTGAGGCAGGGTCTCTACATACCAGGACTGTCCTAGAACTTACTGTGTAGACCAGGCTGGCCTTAAACTCAGAGATCTGCCTACTTCTGTCCCCCAAGTGCTGGGATTAAAAGTTTGCATTGCAGTGCCCAGCAATAATAACTAACATTACATTAGAAATGTGTGCATCTAACACAGATGTTAGAAGAGGAAGTTAGAGGTGGTGGTGAGCCATCAGGTGGGCAGTGGGAACTGAGCCCAGGTTCTCTATAAGATGACTGAACCATCTCTCTAGCCACGGTCTTGCTATGTAGCGAAGGATGCACTTAAAACTTACGATCTTCCTTAATACTAAGTTATGGTTCTAGGCTTATGTTACTGTCGTGGCTGTATATTTACTTGTTGTTTCATTAGGGGATGGTTCTTGGTTAACTATACTAGCTCAGGCCAGCCTTGAACTCTACCTCTAAAGTGCTAGCTAGAGAGTATACTTCTCTCAATGTGTTGTTGCGTACTTGTAGTTCTACAGTCAAACAGGAGGATTGAAAGTTTAAGACTAATCTAGGCTATATAGTAAGATTTTAATTTTATCTTATTTTTTAAGACATGTCTTGTCTAATAGCTCAGGCTTATCTTAACTCCTGATCCTCCTGCCTCTAACTTGGGTTCTTTTTTGTTTCTCTTTGTAGCCCTGTAACTTGGGTTCTTATTCTAGTTGTTTATATCTGACTGTTATAAATTATTGTTTGTTGTATAGAAATATTTATGCAGACTATTACTTAATCCTCTAAACAGGCTGACAAACCAAGGGGTTTTGCCAGAGGTCTTGATCCTGAACGAATAATTGGTGCCACAGACAGCAGTGGAGAATTAATGTTTCTCATGAAATGGTAAGTGTGTGGGCAATAGTTTTAGGGTGACTTTTATTTTTTAGCTGTGTGTGCTTGCATAATGGTGAGGGCACTAAGTGTATCACAGTACATATTAGAGAACAGCTTTGAGGAGTCCATTCTTTCTACCTGGATGTGGATTCATGCGGTCAAACTCAGATTACCAGGCTTGTATGCCATGCATCTTAACCTGCTATGTCATCTTACATTGCAGTTTAAAGTAAAGATAAAAGTTTAAAAAGATACATTGTTAGTTTTTGTGTTTTGGGGGTAGGAGGGGCTTAAGAGGCTCTGGCTGGTGTAGACCAAACTGGCCTCAATTCAAGAATTGGGCCTGAGGGGAAGTTACACAGTTTGGAGTGGGGGGGGGGGTGGATACAGGATTTCTCTATAACAGCTCTGGCTGTCCTGGAGCTCAGTCTTGCTATCCAGGCTGACCTCGAACTCAGAGATCCTCTGCCTCTGCCTCCCAAGTGCTGGGATTAAAGGCGTGCGCCACCACTACCTGGCATACCCCAGTCAGCTATACACCCTGGGTGTGTATAGCAGTTCGGTGGTGGCGCACGCCTTTAATCCCAGCACTTGGGAGGCAGAGGCAGGTGATCTCTGAGTTTGAGGTCAGCCTGGTCTACAGAGCGAGTTCCAGGACAGCATCCAAAGTTACAGAGAAACCGTGTCTCAAAAAACCAAGAAAAAAAGAGAGACTGAGGTAGGATTGCCACAAGTGAAGGTTAAGAAACAAATGCATAGCCTCTTTTGAGAAATGAAGTTTATTAAAATGTAACCACATTAACATTCATTTTTATTCAATTATTTATTGAATAGAGCTCAGATGACAGTTATAACCTTTTTTTCCCCCCTCTCACAACAGGAAGGACTCAGATGAGGCAGACTTGGTGCTGGCAAAGGAGGCAAATATGAAGTGTCCTCAGATTGTCATTGCCTTTTATGAGGAGACGCTGACTTGGCATTCTTGTCCAGAAGATGAAGCCCAATAATTGTTTGCATTTTTTATATATATTTATATATATATAAAATCTGAATCTTGGGTTTTGAATTACTAGTATAGAAAAAATAGCGTTCTAATGAAAATCGAGTTTGATATGCTGGTTTTGAAAGTATTGATAGTAGTTGGGATATTTTTGGTTTTTGTTTTGCATCAAAAGGCACTGACTGATTCCTTTGGGCAAATAAAAGCTTTCTGTAGTTGCTTCCTTTCACAATAGAATGTTTGATAACCATGTTGTATTTCCTCGGCTTTGAAGAACAGCTTTTCTTAAATGCTGAGGAGATCTTATAGTCATTAGTCAACCAAAACTTATTTTTAACTGAGACACAGAAGAACCATTCTGGGCTTTTTGTTTGTATTCGTATGTTGCATAAGACACATAACTTTTTCATTTTGTCTTGTTTTCTAA